TTGCTGGAGTGACCCTTTAATTCCTTTCAATCTTAAACTATAGACTACACTGACACAGTCCATTCTGTCTTTTCCAAACTCGGCTTTCATGCACTCATGCTGACTCATCTCAGAATAACTCAAAGCTCAAGAATCTGACGACCTGGAATAATTTAGCTAAAAGTAAAAATAAAAAAAAATAAAATAAAAAAAGACAGCGAGAAGCCTTACAAACTGTAAAAGCATGTTCTCTTTCAAAAAGCTCCCCCAGATCACATCTTGGACAGAAAACAGCGAGTGTACAAAGCTAGGTGCCTCCTTCCATTCATAATATGGGTCAACACTCTTCTTCAGGCGTCTTGCCCCTTTTGTTCTGTTCCAGCGTCCAGTCATCTGGAAGGAGCTGAGGAATAACCCCATTTACCCACGGGAGAATACAACCAGCTCTGTAGCCATCAGTGTAGACGCCAACTTATGTGCGAGGGCATTTCTGTACTATTTTAACGCCTGTGCACCATGTGAAAATAGCTGTAGTCTCTGAAGTATCATACCCCGAATGAACTACCCATTTAGAACTCCCTGGTCACACCACCACCTGTTAACAGTTTCCTTTATGAAATTAGATTTCCTCCACCAGTGATGCTGGTTTAGTTTAGGGACAAATGCAACCATGTTTTGATGCTTATAAAAATAAAACTTTATTGAGTGCCTTTGTTATTCCCCAACGTTAACTTCAGACTTGCAGGCAATGGCTTGAATTAGTACAAATGAGCCACTACATTTAAAACTAGAGATAACTCAGTCTCTTTAGTTTCACTTTTCCAGACATGTTTCACAAACGTAAGATTTTCTAGACGTGTGCAACAGTACTGCTGAAAAACAATGAGGTGCAGAAAAAATGATCCAAAAGCCAGTTTCTATTTTTAAACATTTATTGTGAATAACCAGTTTATTCGTTCTCCTCGCTCCTGAGCCTGGCGTTGGGGTTGGTGATCTTGATGGCCAGCTGAGCTGCCCTCTCCACGATCACCTTCCTGTTCTTGGAGGACACGTTGTGGGCGATCTCTGCACAGTGAGTCCTACAGAGGCAGAGGGAGAGGCGTTAGGGTCAATGACATGATGTTCTGTTACAACTATTAGTGGTACAGCAGCTTCGTAGCACAATATATCATTTAGAATTGCTGTTGCTTTGGTGGGCAATTTAAATTCTTAAGACAGGATCAGTCCTGATTTGCAAAAACTCAAGAATGTTTGATGTACATTTACATATTTAAATACATTAAGTACCACAATCATGCTGAAATTAAAGGTCTTTTATATGTGCCAAATACAGCCACACTGATATTTTCTAACACATGGTAGTAAAGGGAGGTCATGACAGCTTCACTACAAAAAGACAATGCAGAAGCACTCAACCTACAATAAATACAAAGTAGCCACTAAACTACAGATAGAACAGAGTTTTTGACTTCACGCTTCCAAATTAACACAATGCCAACTACAAATACAGTTATTCAATTTAACAGTCTGTTAAACTTTCCCACTCATCCAAACAGGAGTCAGACTACATTCAATACTTCACATGTTCTCTGAACGTCTGATACAACAGGGTCCATTTTAGAAGAAAAGGGGAAACCTGTACTAAAATCAATGCCACCATATCTGGAAGCAACTGGATTCACAGATAATTTAATGATTCAAGTTCAAAAAGCAGCTTAGCGAGCTAAATTTCTGCTAAAGTTCGTTTTTTCCTTAACTTGACATGATAACATTTAGTTTGATATTGCTGTTAAACAGCTAAATATATCCTCCTTGACCAAAGTGGCATTCCCATGGATTTACGTGCTCAATAACAGTGACCGGCGCCTGTTCTGCGTTAAATCATTCCTGTGTATAAAATCTACCAGCCACCTTTTTATTTTACAAGCAATTTGGCTGGTGCAAATTTCCCACCCACACCTGTTGAATCAAATGATCCATCCCTGCCATGGCAGCATACAGTTGCAGTCTCTGGACAGCAGATCAATACAACCCCCTCTCTGAAATTATCTGGACTTGGCAGGTTGATATTTTGTAGGTTTAAATTCGGTCAGATTAAACTCTTTGTGAAATTGACCCAGCAACATCAGGGATCAATCCAGGACGAAGCAAAAATAATCTCAGCCCTTCTTCATTGAAATTAAACAGAATAATGTGACTGCACCATTAAAGGTTATGCTTTGAGCTGTGCTTGCTTGACAGGGATAGTAACTGATAACTGCATGCACCACCTGAGCTCCACTGTGTTACTCATACTTTTCATTTCAGGCTTAAAGTAAACTGACGGGATGAAAACACCCTAATGCTAAACCATTCCCTCCAGAAACCTATGAATGACTTCATCACCACCTACAGTTTACAATGCAAGGGAGGCAAGACGGGTGATCAAAAGGCAGATTGCTGGAAATTAAATTATTGAAAGTGATGTGTAATAGATTGCATCTGCGTGACTGATTTTGATTGTTATATTAATCTTTTCACAACTTCAGTGAAACTGCAGGAAAAAGACAGCCATAAGCCTTTCTATCCAAATGATTGGCTTACAAACTCCTCTCCTTTAACACAGCGAATACCTTCCAGGTAAACTAGGTTATTGTCAGCAGCAGGTTGTTGGGAAGCCAGCAGTTAGAAAGTGATAAACTATCTCTGACTTCCTCATACAAGGTTCCTGCTTTTATAAAAGCCAAATATTTGTTACATAAGGCTCAACAAGCACCTGCAATTCTCAGTATTCAAATCAGATGTCCCGTGCCAGATTATAACAAAGACACTGTCAGAGTGGTGTCTAACCTCCTGAACTAAGATGGCTTTCTGATATGTTGTTGGAGGATGTTTCCACACGGTTACTGATCACAGCTTACTGTATTTAGTCTGTTAATAAAATAAAATCCTATATTGACTACCAGTTGCTTGCTGCCATTCTGGGGTCACTTCACCTACTTTGCCCCTTGCGGTGTACAGATGTAGGTGGTCCTATCTGCAAATCTGAGTTTTCTTTTACGGTACTCAAGGGAAATTACATTTAAAAACAAAACATCTGGTAACTAGTCACATTTAATCAAGACAGTTGTTCAATCAATCCATTCAAAAAGTGGCGTAAAATGCAGAAGCTTTAGTCAAACACTTTGCTTTTGTACCTA